TCCTGCAATACTCTGTCCAGATATTTGGGATATTCTCTCAAATTTTCTCACCTCTGAGGCATAATTATCTAACCCTTTTATGAGTCCCAGACAACGCAGGTAACTCAGATCAAATTACTAAAGTTCACCGGACCTCATGTTTCACATGTGTTAGAGCGAGTATGAACCATTTTAACGTCCAAAGTTGCTCTTAACTTTGTAGATTTGATGACTCTAAGCCAGAAATAAAGAGGATGGATGAGTGTCCCAGAGGCCAATGGACAGCAGTTGAAATATTATTATGAAATGTTGCATATAACAAATAACAATGTAGGATTCCTAAATTGTGACATGTTAAAGCTTTTATACCTAGTCCTCCACTTTAAGAAATTTAAAAAGGAGAAAGACTCTAGAGTCTGTCCGGTGGCTGTTTCATGTTCTTACCCTTCCTCAATCATCTAGCTGATGCATCAGCAACATGGAACCAGGAAATCAAACAAGTGTTTCAGAATTTTTACTCCTGGGGTTTTCCCAAGACTCAGAGCAGCAACCCATTTTATTTGGAATGTTCTTGCCCATGTTTGTGGTCACTGTGCTCGGGAATCTGCTCATCATCCTGGCCGTCATCTCTGACTCCCACCTCCACACCCCCATGTACTTCTTCCTCTCCAACCTGTCCTTTGCTGACATCTGTTTCACTTCCACGACCATCCCAAAGATGCTGGTGAACATCCAGACACAGAGAAAATCCATCACCTTTGCTGGCTGCATCACCCAGATGTATTTTTTCATGGTTTTTGGCGGTATGGACACCTTTCTCCTCACTGTGATGGCCTATGACCGGCTTGTGGCCATCTGCCACCCCCTGCACTACTCCATCATCATGAACCCCCGCCTCTGTGGTCTGCTGGCTCTTGTGTCCTGGCTCATCAGCTTGACGTACTCCCTGATCCAGAGTCTGCTGATGCTGCGGCTGTCCTTCTGCACCAACTGGGTAATTCAACACTTTTACTGTGAACTTGCTCAGGCTCTCACACTTGCCTGCTCCGACACACTCATCAATTACATCCTGCACTATATGGTGACTGGTTTTCTCGGCATTGTCCCCTTCTCAGGAATCCTTTTCTCTTATACCCAAATTGTCTCCTCAGTCCTGAGAATCCCATCAGCTAATGGGAAATGTAAGGCATTTTCTACCTGTGCATCTCACCTGTCTGTGGTTTCTTTGTTCTATGGGACAGGACTTGGTGTGTATCTCAGTTCTGATTCATCTTCCTGGAGAGGCATGGTCGCCTCGGTAATGTACACTGTGGTCACCCCAATGCTGAACCCCTTCATCTACAGCCTGCGGAACAGGGACATTAAGAGGGCTCTACAAAAAGTTCTTGGGAGAACACTCTATGTTCAGTGATGGGAACATTGGTCTGGAGTTTTGAGCTGAAACTGGTAGCAGCAGTTGCCTAAAGAAATCCTGCCTCTTAATCATGTCGAGATTAGTTAATTACCAAGCCTCCATAAGTGACTTTGGTCAGAATTTCCTTGTACTTTGTCTTAACCGCTTCTGGTGATTGCTCTACTAGCTTCAGCCCCTCCTTTTATGTATCCATTGCTGCACCTCAGACTGGATTTCCAGTCCAGCAGGTCAATAGCAGCCACTTTGAGTACATACTCAGAACAGTTGAATAAGAATTTTATCAATAGCATTTTATCAATAGCTTTGCTAGTTCTTATCACATTTATTCGTTTGACAATATTTCCTGAGCACCTTTGGTGTTCAGTGCTGTTGTAAGTGTCTGGAATACAGAAGTGAAAGGGGAAAAAAGACAGAAATCTTTGCCTTTATAGAGCTTAAATTCTGGATCTGGGAGTTTATTGGATCATGTTATATGTCTAAATAGAAAATACACTGATACATAAATTATTCATTTGGTTATTAGCAAGGCTGAACTTTTCTCCATGTATCTAGTACATTTCCAACATAAGCTAAGAAAATTCATCACTAGAGATAGAAAAACTGCATGGTCCAGAATATTAGAACTGATCAGATGCTAATAAGTTGTTGGGTCTAGTTGTTTCATTTTACAGGTGAATTTACTGAGGTTGAAACACAAGAGTTCAAATGGTGACAAAATTTGGCTGAAAGGGGATATATCTTCAAGTATGGTAAGAAGACAGAGTACTGGATTACAATTCAGGAGGGTGGGAATTGAATCACAGACTTGCCTCTAGGTATGTGATGCTGAGCAGTTTTAGATGATGCAGAATATGTTAGGACCATTGGATCTCTTGATAAACGTTTATTTTCATATCTTCTTCACCGTAAAGAAACTGGATGATGAGCTAAGTCTTTGGATGGTGGTGTTTGCGAAGGCACTGAAGGCAGGAAAAGCACACATAAACACGTAAATATTCATCTTAGTAAAGGAGAATCACTGCCCACTCCAGGACTGGAGTCTAATGGAATCAACTTGCCATCAAGTATTCTCGAGGATGTTACCATTTCGAAGGACCATAATGAACTTCCTAAAGGGGGAACCACCTCCCCTTTAATCCCTTTAATATCTAGGCTTTGAGTCTGAAGCCAGGCTTGGGTCTGCGACTGGGAAAAGAATCATGATTTTC